CGAGAGCGAGAGGAGTGAGAGAGAGAGAGAGAGGAGAGAGAGAGGAGAGAGAGAGGAGAGAGAGAGCGGAACAAGCCAGCAGCGGTTCCTCACACATTGTCTATTGAAAAGTTCGAGATTAAAAGCTTGGGTATCGTTGGAGAAAGCTCAGGTATCCTCAGAAGCCATACGCATTCTTCTGGAATTTAAGCCCGCTGTGACCTGCCTCAGCATGGCTGCAGGATTCTGAACAGGTACTCCCTGTCCATTAGGCTGTCCTCGTGCAGGTCGGTACAGTAGACGGCGTTGGCGATCAGGTCCTTACCGAACCGGGCGCGCAGCGACTCTGGCCGCAGCAGCGCCGCCAGGTGCGGGTCGCGAGGTCCGGCCAGCTCGCGCAGCACCTCAACCGTGTCCTGGCCCTCCTCGACGCCGCTTAGCTCGAGCGCCACCAGCGGGCCCGAGCTCATCTGCGCCACCATCTTGCCACACTCGGGCAATACCCCGCGGTACACCTCGAGCAGCCGTTCCGCCTCGGGCCCGGTCAGCGTCATTAGGTCGAGCGCCGTCACCGCCAGGCGGCCGGACGCCTGGATGGCGGCCACGACGTCGCCCAGCCGCCGTTCGGCCAGCACGTGCGGCAGGATGACACAGCAGGAGCCGTCGGCCGCCAGCCGGGCTGACGTCAGCGGCCGCGGCGCGCCGGCCGCCGGGAAGAAGAAGCGCAGGTCGCGCGCGGCCGCCTCACACCCGGTGGAGCCGTGCAAGGCGTTGTTGGCGCGGTCGGCGCCGAACTGACGCTGGATGGTGTCGGCGCACTCCTCACCGGCCGTCAAGCAGTCAGTGGTGCCCATCAGGGAACGCCAGCGCAGCACTGCGTCCCTGCCGGTCAGCTGCAGTGCCACGCACGGCCCGGCCGTCAGGTAGGCCAGCAGTTCGGCCGCCTGACAGTGCGCCTGCTCCTCGGCGAAGAAACGGTCCGCCTCGTGACGCTCCAGCTGCACCATACGCGCGCGCGTGATCTTCAAGCCCTCGCTCTCGATAATCTGCAGGATTTTGCCCAGGTGCTGGACGGCGGCTGGCTTCACCAGAGCGAATGTCGTCTGCGAGTCTTCCTCGAAGAAGGTGCGGGTTCGCTCATTGGCGTACTCAACGATGCGCATGTGTCGACCCAATATGGTGATATGGCTCCCGAGAGAGAGGTCCTTGCAGCCGATGGTCGAGACTTGCGTTCGTTTCAGAAAGGTGCGATTGGTACGTCGGTCAAAGAGTTCCACGGAACCATCGTCTATGTAGAAATATAGTATCATGTCCCGGGTGAGTGACGATTCCGGGTCAAACCATTCAACATTGAAAATTACTCTCTCCTGGCTAGCCGGTTGAAATGGGGGCATGGCTTTAAAGAGCCGAAATGCTTCGAATTCTACGCAATGCCAGAATAATTACAACTTGCAAAACAATAACTACGACGTGCTTAACTTCAAGTTATGTGTTGGTTTACTGACCAGCGCAAACCGCAGTTCCCCAATAATTAAAACACTTTAAAACAAAAGCAACTTTTCCCAGATCATAAAGGCCGTGAGCGTATTACAAAATACCATCGGATACGAGTGAAGCCCCTTTAAAAACTTGGATGCCACACGAGAATACGCTCCACGAGCACCCCTTTTGAAAAGAAATTCCCACTGTATAATTTAACCACTGCAGACAGCATGCAACTGTGGTTTGCCAACGAAATGGGTCGGCCTTTGAAACTGTCTAAGCCTCGGCTCACTGCACTACATCAATCCGCATTTGGCCACATAACATCGCTGGCATTAGCGTTTGCCTACACTAGCGCTACCATTAAAGTTTCGGCTGGACCTTGGCTAAACCAGTGCCAAGACCAATAAGACATTATCCATCTAGCATTAGACTCAATGGGCTATCGTATCGGCGTCATCAGTCTTTGACCTCAGCATGAATTTCTCCTACCAGTTCTGCAGCTTCTCGAAGTTATCAAATCTCTGACCGGTTTCACAAGTTCAGACGGAGGCGAATGTGACCAGTCTCGTTTATAACCCCGATTACAGTTCAAACAGTCGCAACGGATACAAAAGGAAACCAACGCACCACTTTCATGGGCGGCAAACACTCCAACATACACGGGTGTAGGCCCTGGCCTACTTTTTAAATTACCGACAAACATATCTCAACTGCAAACACAAACAAAGCTCACAGCAATTTTCCAACCATTATGCTCACCTAACCTTCACCGAGGTTAATCATCGGGGCGGTTTTCTATGCAAACTGGCACGATCCATTCAGTCTGCAGATGCAGATCGCGCAGCGTTTGTTCAGTCAGCATTTGCTCACACAATACGAGTGCCTGTGTTCTATGGTACCGACTCAGAGTTCCAGTCAAATCCAAAAACAATTCTGAAAATAAACTTCTTTTTAAAAAAGAGATAATATGACAAGCGTAGCCCCATCCCCCGCCTAATTACATTTATGGCGCATGCTATTGTACGACTTATCAAGGTGTTTTAGTGGCTCTGAGGGCACTGTAGTTCACTGAAATCAGCTGTTTCCACTATAATATTTTTTTGTTCAGGTACATTCTGATTGTGTCCGAAATAACTGCATTTTTAGACAGTCCTAAGATTCATGTTGTTTTCAACGTGTGATTAAATCATTTGTCCTTTCCGATAGCCCGGCTGGTTACAGCGCCTGCCTTCCGATCCACCCACCCGTTGCGGGGTAGGTCCGAGTCACTTTAGACGGCCGGTGGCAGCGGCCACGCTCCGGTGACGTCACAGGGTGGGTCAGACCGTGCCGAGCATTGCGGAACGCTACACTTTCGCCAGGGGCCGCGGGTCGGTCCCGATCGACACCCCGGTCACTAACCGGGAAAACGATTTGTTTCGACACGAAAGGGAGCAGGAGAGAACTCTGCCGTTGGCCTGGAGCTGCACGATCGGACAGCAGGACTCCCAGCTCACACGGCAAACACTGCTTACCGTGAGCTCTGACACCAGCGATCAGGGTTAAATCTATTTAACAACCTGACGTTCCTGCATTGAGCCCAATAACCGTCTTCTGTCAGGCCCATGCGAAAAGGCAATGCATTTGTGACAAGTGCTATTCAGTAATGGTGCTTATGTTGTGGGTTTTATTAATTTGGTGTTTATTAAAAAAAGGTTCACAAAACATAGTTGAGTACTGTTATTTTGTAATGCTTCAACATGGTTGAACGCTTACATCAATGCAGCACATCAGGGGCTCATGCCAGCAAGGGCACGGAACGAAAGCTATCGCGTTGGGGATTTTTGGGATTCAGCCCCAAAACATTTCGAAGAACTTAGATTAAGCAGTAGGTTTAATGTAGTACGTGGAAAGAAACGATTTAAAATGCCTCTGAGCGCCCCATCCTGAACAACTGGCCTCACTCCTGTATCACAATGCATGCGAAACATCGCTTTGTTTTGATGGCGTATTCCACTCAGCTCTTTTGAATCAATGCACGACTTTTAAAGCTAGGTACATTGTGCTAAAGCACCAGTTAATTTGCCTAGTGGTGACACTCGTTCCTTTTCACCACCAATTACCTTGCAGTCAGGCCGAGGTAAATTTCTATTTTAAAGGTTTCACATTTGTTATAAGTACACAGTGACGAACACCGTTCGATCTGATCTTTGTTCTGGCATGGGGAGGAATGGAGATACTCATATCAATAACTGACAATTTATGATCAATAGGCTTCACATGCGAGCCATGCACAGCTTATACAACGCGTCACCACGCGATAACTGGAAATAAGTCTTTTGGAACATTTAAAGGTAACGATGTAACTGCACCGATGTTTTTTACCGGAAAACTGTTCGGGTAAATCGTGGAAAGCTTTATCGAAATCCCGGTCATTAACCGGGTATATGACTTCTTGCGACACGAAGGGGAGAAGAAGGAAATAGGCTTCACAACTTGCCTCAAAACGTTTCATTTTATTAAAAAGTCAATGATTTGCATAGCACGGATTGAAAATTTGTGCTCACGATGAAAAGAAAACACTGAGGAACTTCAATGACTGCCCTGATATCATGGCATTTCTAGTGAGACGTTTATCTGACAGCATGTTCCGAGCTATGTAGTAAATTGGCACATACAATTATACGCGCTTTGCTTTCACCTTTATCACGAATGGTCGGAATGACATCAGGATGAATTAATGACGCCGAATGAATGACCAAATTAACTATTCACTTAGCATCGTTGGGCGGGGTGGACCGCACTGAACTCCGGTTCCAATGCCATGCGGGGCCCGTAACGTTAACAAGTTTGGACAGCATTCTCTGGTGACGCTTTTCTCGCGCCCGGCTTTCCGTGCAAGCTCGCTCCTAATTTTCACGCATTTGGCTTGGTCATTACGAAATAACCTTTCGCCTTGCCTAGTAAAGTAAAAAAAAATCATAGGAAAAATCACCAGCGGAGTTACAGTATTCCAGTTAGGGAGTGTGCCACGCTTATATGGGGGTTTTAACTGAAATACCCATCTTGAGGTTCTTTTGGGGCTTTTCACCCACGAACTGGGCCTTGCCCAGGCGGCTGTCACTCAGAAACTACTAATTATCGATTAACGTCGAACAATCACATTTGAGGCGGTAATGCAATGGATGACACCGACAGACGGATCGACCGACCGGCCAATACCATATAAATCGGTACAGTGATGGAACGATCCACCAACTGACCACTGTTATATAACACTGACCCGTACACCCTATGAAAGTTGCATTTTGACGCACATGTAATGGCTCTGTTGCCAGAAGCTTCAGCACCAGCGACAGGTGGCATCGGTGCTCTGCTCACCCACCTTGGCTGCCGTGCCCTGGAACGAGTTGAGTTGCTCGGAGGCCCGGTCTCTGTCCGCGTTGACCATGGTGGCTGGCTGATGGGGATCGGCGATGCAGGTCAGAGCTGGCGCGCTCGGCCGAGTCTCGATCGCGAATGACGCTGGTCGCCGGTCGGCCGGCCGCGGCGAAGGTGACCCCTCCCCTCCCCCTCCCCCTCCCTCCCGGCGGCACGGGAGGGGCGGGGGCACAGCGGATCTCAAGCTGCCGCGTGCATGATGCAAGAACTGGCTTAGCAGCAGCCCGCGGCGCTCCGCCACTTGGAGTGCATAGCCGGACCCTGCCATAGTTATATAATGAAGCTAGGAAGTTGAGAATTAACCAAAGCAGCGCAAGCTCTTTTCGGATTTATTGTCGAAAAATGTTGGTGCAATCTTGAAATGATACCGAATTGCATATAATTACTCAAGATTCCTGCGCGTCGGGTATCAGGAACAGGTGCGCATCCAGTGATTTTGATGGGGGGGGGGGGCTTTCCAGCAATCGAAGGATCCCAAACATATACACAAAAAAACGGATTCTCGCTGCCCATTTTAGAAAATCGTTAGAAGCACCACAAGGCGCACCTTGGCTGATTAATCTACACCAAGCAGACAACCATACCACATAACACTAGCTCTCCCTAACATGAAGAGCATATGGTATGAGCTCGTATCATCGGTACCGCACGACTGCCCTGACATTGGAATATCCAACATCATTATTCGTTTTACTTCGGTACTTTGCAGGGACATTTAGATCACGTTTACAGTGTAAGAAACAGCAATTTGCATTTTAAGCGCTCATCTTCACAGAAATATTTAGCTTAAACAAACAAAACATGCTTTTGTTTCGTTGCTTTCAATGAGGTGCGAACGCTGCCTTGTCTGCCTAAGGAATGCATAATTGGTTCGGGCATGACAACGAAACCGGCTTTAACTTCAGCTTCAGCTTCGCGAAGTCGTATTTCCTTTTAATTGAAATTTCTCCGATGACGCTGATTTCGGCTGAGATCTCATAACTGGCTTTAACTTGGTGAGAAGGCGTTTGAAAAAGGCGAAAATTATTTTGTCCATGTTATTTAACGTATTGCTGAGTGTGCGAGCATGCATTGCGCTGTTCAAGAGTGCTGACCTTTGTACCCACCGTTTCACATTGGCCTGACTTGAGGCTCAGAAAAGCCGTGTCGCATGGAACTGCCCCACCATGGATATCCATAATCACATAAATAAGATACTTCCCGACCAAGCCACAGGCGGTGTGAACCACGCCAACCCACGTCTTTTCCCCCAGGGTATGTGGTGGCGAGGCAGTGTCTCTTCACTGAACTTCCGAAACGCGGACCCAAGCGTGTCAACGAAAGCTGTTGAAACCCCACCGGGTGATTCTGTGAGGATTTGGATGTCACTGCGTCCTTAAAGGATCCTTTTCACCATCGGGACCTATTTTCATACATCGGGGACGCCATCTAGACCATAGGGAGCACCCATCCAGTTTTTGGGCCGCCCATACGTTAAACGGCGTGCTTAAACTCCTTTAAGCATATTTTCCGACCTTAGGAACACCTTTGAGTCCTCAGGGCATGGTTTTAATCCCCATGGTTTTGGCCGCCTTAATATTCGTTAGGGCGTTCTTTTAGACTTTGAACATATTCTCAGGCATAGGCGTCCTAGTTTGCCATTCAGGCGCGTCCCGTCAGTCTCTTAAAAGTTAAGGAAGTCCTTTTGTTCTTTTAGAGTGCCATTAGAGCGCCCTTTTAGAGCGTTTAAAGGTCTTCGGACATATCTTGGACGCCAATGGGTGTTCCTTGAGCCTTGGGGCGCCCCCTAGAGTGTGAGGCACCCTTTCATTCTTTCTGACATTCTTTTAGCGCTAGGGACGTATTTTCGGATTTCAGGGGCACCCTAAAGTCATTGCGTGCGGTTCCAGTTGTTGGGGCGCTTTTTATTATGGTTTTTCCCGTCCTCGGAATGGACTACGAGGGACCTCGAGTGAGTCCTCGGGGAGCGAGCCGGGAGGGTAGGGGGTAGGTTTGGAAATCCAATCCGTGGTTGGGACATTCTTTTAATTTCAATGCATGCTTCTAGATTTCAGAAAACATGTCCAGACCACATGACACCCTTTTAGGCTTCAGAGGTGTCTTCTTCCCTCCCCCTAAAAATTGACCTTGGGTCATAATCCCTTCACCAAGTCCTTAAGGGCGCTTTCTGCACAAATGACGATATCTTAAAGGGGAACTCTTACTTTCATGTCGGAGTGGGCACGTGCCCCAGCGTCCGCCCCCCCCCCCCCCATCCCCTCTGGTACCGCCTCTTATCATGGGTTTGAGCGAATCATGTTTCCCTCTTGTTGAAAAAGTTCTGGAATGCGTCAAATGCCACTTTTTTGTTATTATGGACGAGGCAATTGCGAAGGAAAACTCAAGCCTATTCAGTATTTCTAGATGACGGCGTCGCTATTGCCACACAAACTCTTTTGGGCTTGCGAGCAGCGAAAGAACGTGCGCGTTCTTGCATGCCGCATGAAGCAATGGCGGCGTAGGCGAAACTTCTCGTATATTTTGGAAGAGCTCGATCACATTCTATGCCTGTCAACATCGGGGCTAGCTGCTTAGAGTCTGTTCCAAATGGCTATGCCCTATGGCCTGTGGACCTAGGCACTTGGGAATGACTTAATGCTAGCAGCTAAAGCATGCCAAAACTATGCTACGTTAAGGAATATTATTATATCGGTTAGTTCGTATCGGCTAGATCTCGGCCACCCTTGTTATGGTATTTTGGTCTTACGTGGACGCGTCGACGACACCTGTCATTTTGCCCGTACTTCTTGGTCAGGAAGTCAACATTTCATCGAAGCGTGATTACAGTGTGATAAACGTTCTAGGTCGTCAGGCCTGAGTTAGGCTTCCCAAAGTTAGAGTCAGACATGGTCACGGGGCATTTAAGATGTGGGTAGATTATCTCAAAACCCATGTGCTTCATGACATTTAAAACGCTCCTCGTTTTAGATTAGATAATTAGATAGCTCCTCGTCAAAGATAAGTTTAATTCATTCGGTCTAAATACTTTTAGAACAATTCAAGGCCTTTGAGTGCTAATACAACCTCTGATGATGTAGCAGATAAAGGATTTAATTCATTTATCATCATTATCATCATTCAACAGGCTCACTCGTTAATTTACCATATTCTGACATTATTCCCTATCAAAACGATGCATATGGCTCTCCATTTATGCAAAGGGCACTCGAACGACCTTTATTGCATGATTTTATCATTTGTGCGACCAAATAATTTCGTATCTGCCGTGACTACAGTTCTTGAATACAGAATTCAAGAAGACTCATGGGGTTCCAACATGGAAGTGTGACATTTATAATATGCTAAGCTTTTCCAGGGATGGGGCTGGTAACAGAGACTTCGACATTTTCGCATGCAAAGTCTACAAACAAAAACTTAAAAACATTACGAAGGAGTAAAAAAGGAGCGCTCAGTAATGCTTATGTCGCCGCCACGGCCTAACCTGCGATGATGTACTTGGTAAAAAGACTTCGCTTCTGTCTGTCTGCTTCTGTCTGCTGTTCAGGACTGCTACATAACCCAACGCAACACCATCAACCGACCTCAAACTCTACACCTTTGTAGGCATGTAACAACACCAAACCACACCAACAGTCGCTTAGGACAAGTGTTCGCATTTCTCTGCCTCGTGCAAACGTTTGTTAACCGCCTCTTCACAGGTCACCTGAGCACAAGAGTACGTGATTAGCAATTTGCTCTCTATGCGTGAGCGACATCATTCATAGCCATTAAAGCGTGTGTGTCGCCTTGTTCGCACCTTTCATCTATTGTGAGATGAGACGCATCCGACTTCATTGGTAGTACCAGTTTTCATGAAATTTTTCTTGAAAGCTCAAAATTTCGATTAAAAAAGCCGCTCTGGTGGGAGCGTTGTGACAAAAGTGTTGTGCTATGGCAAAACATTGGCAGTGTAACTTAGACTCAAACACAAATATTTTTTCTTTGTATTTGTGGGGTGGCAGTGACAACACCCAGTAGTTTCATTAGGCGTAACTGGTCCTGAGTTTTCCTCAGATTATGTTTTTGAGATATGCCCAAAAGGTGGGACAATCCCTTTAATCTTATTTACGATATGTGTATGTTGATATGTGTAAATGGGTAGTCAGGTATGGATAAATAATAAAATAACATGAACAGGTGGATTACTATGGACATTCTATTCCCAGAGACAGCATCATGCTATGGGGCGTGCGGTGCGTTGCCCAAGATCGGATGCAAAAGATCCAAGCCACATACGTGATGGCTGTTGCAGCTTCCATGCTAAGTCGTTTGCGCGTCGAGAGCCTGTGTTAATAAAGCTTTCACTTCAGCTTGTCGTTCATATGCTGTCCAGGTTCCATTCAGGGCAGCTTTCCTTGTAAGTCGTATTTACACACTGCCTAACGTTATTACACACTTGTTTGATGGCGACTTCTTCCACGTTTCGGATGGCTTTTTACTTTACAAACAAATGTTGTCGCAACGTTCGTAAAAACGCCCTTCTTCAGAAAAATAGTCGGCAAGCAGGCTGCTATTGCTGTTGTACGTGACGGGGACGTACCCCGGTGCAGAAATGTTGGATACAATGGGTCGTACGTATGTTCTGGTGTGCCCGAATGTCTTTTGAGTGCGGATTAAGCGGCACCACCAGCTTTGATTCAGTGAAAATAATGGACATAAACATAAGCACCCCTTGCGCTTGTTGTGCATGCATGCAAATGCTGCATGGTCACTGTTTACACGTCACAAGTGGCCTAACTCGGGGCTGCTTACTACCTTATCAAATTCATTTCAAGCAAGCGGTCTTTTCCTACCAGCCCAAATCCGACTACCGTTCCGGGTTGGACCTAAATTGCAGCGCAAACGAGGCTCCCGCTCAAGCAAAAAGCAGACCTCCTGAGATGCTGGTGTGCGAGCTAAAATAGCTGGATGACCATGACCTACTGATGTCAAGGCGTTGGAACATAACACGGATGCAATGTCTTAGTCGACGACCTTGCTTTTAACAACCGGTTTTTATCGAGTCCATCCGCGGCAAGTTTTTCGGAG